AATAGCACAGGGTGTAAAGGTTCTATGTTGTTAAGTGCTGTTGAGTCAGTTCTGACTTCATAGCGACCCTGTATCGTGCTTCCAAGGAGTGGCTGGTGAGTTTGAACCACCAAACTTGTGGTGCAAAATCACCTTGCAATCTAGTGCTGTACGTCCCAGGATCTCCTTCCTCATTGTCCAGGTGAGGACACGGACACAGAGAGGTTAAACAATGTGCCCAAGTAACAGAGTCAACCAAATCTATCTTCTTTCGGAAAACTGGGTAAAAATTGTAAGCATTAAGTCTGTAGGTTTTGTTGTTGTTGTTAAGTACCATGGAGTCAGTTTCGATGCATAGTGACCCTGTACAGGGTTTCTGAGGCTGTAAATCTTTATAGGAGCAGAACACCTTATCTTTCTCCCACAGAACCTCTGGTAGTTTCGAACTGCTGACCTTGAGGTTGGCATCCCGACTTGTAACCACTACGCTACCAAAGCTCCTTAAGACTATAGGTATATACTTGGAAATTGTTTTTGAAAGATATGTGACCCCTCTGTGTCCTCACAGATTCTAATATTGAGATAGCAAATGCTCAAAGTTTACACCTAGTCAGCAGCGGCAGCCACTTTCTCAAGGCTGTAAGTTTAGAGGGACTGATTTACTGGGAAAGTAGACGGAGAAGCAAGATCACTATGACCGTGCACATATCTTGGGTGATTGCACTGATTCACACGTGGGCACACAGGTCTACTTCGATGTACATGGAGTTGTCATGAGTTGGCGTCTAATAGACAGCAGTTGGTATGTTTGGTCACATGCTGCTTTGCTGGTGTGAACTCTTATTTCTGGAGCTTGTGGATTTGACCAAGCATTGTAGCTTGTACTAGCAGCCCTCTCCTTACCTAATTTATGTAGCAAAGGTGATGGGTATCTAATAGTCGAGTACTGCTTTCTGGGCAGAAGTTACCCATGTATGTCTGTGGATAAAACTAACACTGACAGCTCTTTCTTTCCCTATGTCTTCTAATAGTTTGACTCAAAATTCACTGGTGTAGTTTGGTGATTCTTCCTTCATAAAGCACTAATTAGAAAGGTGGTGTATAGTTCAAAAGGAACAAATAAATTCCTTTTTACAACCAATTTCTCTGGGAATCCAGTCCCATGTCCTATGGCTAGAACCAGATTCTAGTACGGCATGTCTCCACTCCATAACCTCCTGTGCCCAAAGGACTGCCGTGACCTGATAGATAGGAAACAACCCGAAGGGAAGGTTCTGGAGGCTTCCACAAGGCTTAGCAAACCCTTTCCAGTCTGAGCGAGCTCCGATGGGTGAAGCACAAAGCACTGGGGCACACTTTGGAAACTGGAGCAGCAAGGGGTGTGGAGAGTTACTTACTGAAAGTCTTGCTATATAAACAGGGCTACCTGCAGTTCCATCCCAAGGAGGACCCAGTCATGGACAAATGAAGGGCTTAGGGACCGAGATAAGGCCCCTGAGGCCAGAAACTGTCTATAATTACAAAAAGGCAAACTTCTAAATTTGATACGGAGATTTCACAATCATTCTCTCCCTCTACCCCACTAGTAGTGTTTGCTTTGACATAAGAACGAATCTGTTTATGTTTACAAAGGATTAACAACAGATCCTGTTGCTGGAGCAAAACTCAGACAAGGCGTTACTAAATCTCTTAAAAAAGATTAACTCCCAGAAGCCAGGTAAGAAAAATAACCTCTAATCCAGGTGTTGCTGATCATCTAATGTTCAAGCTAGTTAGTGACACTTACAAAGCAAAGATAGTTTTGGACAAACCTTAAACTAGGTCAACAAAATGCATGCTCTTGAAACTTACTCTTTGTTAAACATAGTTTGGAAAAAAAATTCCATTTTGTATTCTGACTTAACAGGAACTGGGGTTGAGTCCTCATTTTTTCACCCAGAAGACTACTTATTGCATGGTTGTTGTTTTTTTTCAAAGTCACCCCCCCCAACAAGGAGTGACAGGGAACAGGATTTACTATAAAGCTGATAGTGTGAACTGTTTGTGAAATCAATGACAATGTAAAGAGACTTGTGATATTTATCATCATCAACGTGGAAAGGATAAGGTTCTAAAGGAAGCACTTTTCCTTTCTGCTCTCAGACTGGGTCTCTGACACTGAAGGCGGTGACCCAGGAATGCCACCTGAGGGGAAGGAGCTGAGGATGTCTGTCTTCAGGCCTGTGATTTCTCCAGAGACGACATTTAGAACTAGTAAAAACTGGCTTCACATTTTCTTATTTAAGCCCTTCAAATGGTTCAAAAACAGTTATTAAATAGCACATCAATCTGCATGATAATGCTTGATTTAAAGACTCACTTGACTCTTAAATGGACATTTAATAGGCTTTTAAGGAAAATGTTGCTTTGATCTTAGAAACCTCCAGAGAAAGGGTCATTGAGTGCCAGCATTATTTACTTACTGGGCACAGTGGCTTTTTATTCAATGCAGTATTTGTGAGATACCCGTTTTGATTCTTTTTTCCCTAATATTAAACTACGTTAGTCATTATTTTAAATGCTCTTCTGCACACAGCGTAGCACGCTCTCACATACACCAGTGGTTTGGGAGCCAAATGAACAGGTTACAAACCTCGTGGGGAGGGACGCACTGTCACATATTCCTCATAGCAAATTAGAAGTTCGCTGTTGTATTCAGCTTTTTTGGGAAGTGTGTTAACTAGTCCTCCTTTTTGTGCTTTAAAGGTCCATAAACTCTTCATATAAAGATCTCTTATACTTAACTCATACTTCTTAATCCAAGAACTTTATTTTTCTTAAATTCAAGGAATGTTAATTAGAAATATCGTAGTATTTTCTCCTGTCTAAATTCGAGAGTCCCAAACTGCTACCACTTGAAGAAACACCTGAAACTCTTCTGATGTATTTTGAGGACCAAATCCTGGTTTTATACTCAAGTATTGTAGGTGTGTGCTTTGGAACTCGTGGAAGACTGCAACAAGCTATGTGAAAGTATTTTTGGAAACTTCTATCAGGGCACCTTGGTGTGAGCTAAAGTGTCCACCCTGCCTTGCTCTCTGAGGCTGACTTCCCTGGACAAGGTAAGAGGGGATAGGGGGAATGGACTTAGACATCCTAGAGCAGGGGATACCAGCTCTGAGTGAAGTAATCTGTATTGTTTGGGCTCCTTACTCCCTCCCACCCCCCTAATTAAGCTGTGGTTTAAGGAACTTACATCTGAGAGCTGGATCCCAAAAGTTTTAAGTTGCCACCCAATCCTGGGGGCTGTCTGTGAAGACTTGATACCATTTTGTTGTTCTTAGGTGTTTTTGGGTGGCCCTGTTAACATTAAGTACTATGGGCAAGGGTTCCTCTCCTTTGATCTTCAAGCTTCTTTGTTGGGAAAACCTCAACACTTCACATTCTCTGTCCACCTCTACCCCAGTTTAAAAGAAAAACAAAAAAGCTTGTCAGATTTAACAGGCATCCTACTTTCTGAAGGAACTCCAATAAGGAAATTTCTAATTTGTACTAGAAGCTAATTTATAGTTGTATTCTGAGTATTCTGACCTACATGTTGGAAATCAGTTATGTAAAATTATAGAAGGTTTCAGAATTGTTATGCAGTATTTTTTATTTTTTATAAGTTCTTAGAACTGTGAGTTAAACTGAAGCATATAAACTACCTTAAATCACACAAAAATAACTTTTCCTATTAAGTAGAGGAGAACTTCGAGCAGCGAGAAGTTAAGTAGAAGTTAAAGTTCATAACCTAAGCTGAATGGAAGTTGGAATCGTTCACTTTGTGGAAGTAATCTCCAGGCTGGGGCATGAGTGTGCGGGAACTGTCTTATTCTCTCTGGCTGCCTGGTTACTCAGGGGCGTAAGGGTATGTAGACCTGAATCACGCTGCAGGCAAGGTTTGTAGACTTCACTACACGTTAAGATATAGATAGCTTCATGGAGCAGAAAGTCTCTAACATCAAATGATTAAGTAGCTTTTAAAGTCATATACCAAATATACCAAATTTGAGGGGCAGATTATAGTTAACACATTTTAAATAAAAACTAAGAATGATTTTAATTGATTTGAGTTAAAAATGCTTTTATTTATTTGTGATTAAAAACAATAAGAATTTAAGCAGAGTAGTAGTTTAAGCCAGATAGAGCAAAGAAAGTCTTATTTTATATTTAAAATTCCAGTAATGTTTTCATAAATTCCTGTTAAAAATATAATCAATATTAAAGTCAGCGAAATGCCTTTCTTGGCTGACGCCTAGATTATTTTACCACTTAACCTGGTTACACAGTGATTTTTTTTTTTTTTTTTTTTTCTGTCAGACTTGACTGACAACCAGTTTATTCTTTAAGATAAATGAAGTCAGTGATAACTCACATAAGTAGCATCTTGTGGAAAATATTCAAACTAAACTTAAAATGCTTTTTTAAATGTAGAAATCTATTGTTCCACAAGAAATTGTTTTTGTAAAACTACAGGTTGGCTATGGCAATAGTAACTAAACTACATCCAACCCTGAAAGTAGAAAAATCCCTGAAAAGAAATACACAGCCTAGTTATAATATACCATATAAAGGCTATTTTCTTATTTTAAAAGTTCTCCTGACTTGAAGAAAGTCAAAACTTTCCATAGTTCATTTACTAGGCAATGCCACATAAAGTTATGTATGTAGTTAACATTATTATGATCATATCATGGCTTACGGTTATATTCAATATGACAAAACACCTATATATAGATAGCAGCCCTTGTTTTGGATGTCTGTTATAACAATATTTGCAGTTTCATTACAGAACACGCGCTCGTTACATTTGGTACAAAGCATGAACACTCAGCACAGATTGGCACAATACATGCAGTATGAGAACTCATTTCTAGCCAGCGTTACTGAAAAAGCTCTATATAGTCCCAGTCCCGCTTCCTAATTGTCCCTTGTATCACAAATGATATTTAAAAAAATGCTTAACACGTTTCCCAGGGTAAGGATGCCTGACCAGCCAGTCATCTGAATGCGTGGTGGAAATGAGGCAGGATGGCAGACCCCGTGGCAGCAGGGAACACGTGGGGGATGGGGGGCAGGGGGAGCTGGCCTAGGCTCATAGTGCTCATGGCTAGTGGGGGGTCTTGTTGCTGTTGCCCCAGACAGCTTAACCTATGGGGCAGGGGTTCTCCAGGCCCCAGGCTGAGAGTGCTAGTCCCAAAGGCATTTTGGGTAGCAGGAGGGGGCAGCTGCCAGAAGCCCAAAAGGGGAGAAATGTCCAAAGAGGCAGGTATGGTTAGGTTCACAGCATCTGCAGGTAGCTCCTTGGGCAGGTTCATTTTACTAGAACTTCCCTTGGCCAGATCAAAACCTGGGTTGAGCTTGTGAGGTGACTGAGGCTCTTGTAGGGGCAAGTCCTGGAGCAGACTGATATTGCAAAATCCTTTAGTATCTGCTTTGAGGGGCAGATTTGCAAGCGGGGGGTATGAGGTAGAAGTGGTGTTGTACTTGTGATTCTGGAGGGCCGGAGGTGAGCTAGGAGAGACTGAGGGGAGGAGAGGGGGGAGGGGCTCTGGCAGGGGTTGCACCGGTTGGGAGATTGGTTCTGAGGGACTGTGGGTGTGGCTGTGTACCTCAACTGGTAAGCTACTTGCAAGCCCATTCTGCACAGGTGCTCCTATAGGGAAAGGAGACAGAGGAGCAGCCTTCAGTTGAAACGGAGGCGAGATGGAGTGGAAGGTGCCCAGGAGGTCTCCATGCTGCAGACTCTCTTTCATCAGCTCCTGTGAGTGTGTCTTCTTGGTATGCCGTGTGAGGTGGTCTTTGCGCCCAAATCTCTGGGCACAAAACTGGCACAGGAAGTCCTTGCAACCTGTGTGGACCACCAGGTGGCGCCGCACGTCCTTCCGGGTGTAGAAGCATCTCTCGCAGTGGTCACATTGGTGCTTCTTCTCCTTGGTCGCAGTATTGGGTTTTTCTTCAGCGTGGGCTTTCAGGTGGTCGAGCAGCACCTCTGTGCTCCCTAGCTCCAAGGCACAGACCCCACAGGTGAGGTCCCCACTGCTGGCCGCATGAAGGGCTAGGTGCCTCTTGTAGCCCAACAATGTGTTGTACTTCTTCCCACACTCCTCGCACCCAAAGGCCATTTTATTGGGGTCATGAGTCTGGAGGTGGTTCTTCAGATGGTCTTTCCGGTTGAATGTCTTCTCACAGTGAGCACACTGGTGAGATTTCTGGGGCGAATGGGTAGCCATGTGCCTGGAGCAGAAGGAAAAAATTCGTAATAGAGAATGAAGGAAACTGATCAGAGCCTTGCTAGCTTTTTCTCAATGCTGGCACACTAGAAAAGTCTACAGCGAAAAATAAACACTACTAAAGAAATAACACACTTTTTTTTGTCCTGGTGTGATGCTGTAGGATAAGAAGAACATGACTGCTAACCGCAAGGTGGACAGTTCAGAAACCCTGTACAATGTCGCTGTAAGTCTGAACTGACTCAACAAAGGTTTTTAGACTATACTTTTTCCTAATGTGTATAAAGAGATTTCTAAGCAAACCATGCATATATATATTTTAAAATGTGATCATAAAAATACTTTTTAGAATAGGTTAAATAGATATTCCATGTTCTTGTATATCCAATTTCCCTTCTGTAAGAACCTCATTAAGCCCTAGTTTTAGTTAATTGTTCCTTATACAGTTCTTGCTTGGTCTCTATTAATCAAGGCAGAAAGTTCAGGCCACAGATGTAACACTCTTAGGAGCCTTAAAAAAATCTATCTTTCACCTCATGAGCAAGTGTCTCCAAGTTCTCCTAGATACCTTCAACTGACTTCCATCTTTACACTTGGTGGCGATGGTTCAAAGGGGGCTTTCTCTAGAAGGGCTAAGATGCTCATCCTAACTGTAGCTCGTCCTAACTGTAGCTTGAGGGAGTGTGCCAAGGATATCCTACTCAATCTGGAATTTCAAAATAGATTAAGTTTATATTTGTAAACCACAAATTAACTTTAGTATAAAACCACCATTTAATTGAATTCCTAAAATCTGAATTCCATGTTCGTTTTTAAAAACTTAAATGATATAAAGAAACCCTGAGTGTCATCCTAAAGCTTTAGAAAAGGCTCCTTTTAATAACCTAGTAAATCATATCAAACAACGAGTGCTAGTGTAGTGTGCTTACAAAATAGAAGCTTTAAAGGCAGCTTGTGACTTGCAGGTATAACACAGGTTTCTTCACGTTCCTTAGGACCATCAATTCCTTTAGGTGCTTTGTCTTTAGAGACTACAGCTTGATCTACTGATAATTTAAATTCAATTGTACCCTTTGGGCATGCGTCTTTGTATACAAAATAATTTTTTAGTACTAATTTTCTAAAATAATTATAATAATACGGCATCTTTTAGGCAAAGGCCAGAAGTATTGGAACCTGGAGACTACTGCCCTAAGATACTCTTTGAACTTAGAACTGAAACCACTTCTGGAGGTCACCTTTCAGCCAAATAATGCACATGGCTTATAAATACTCTTTCAGCCATGAGCAATGTGGCCCTTAAACACTTAACATTTAACCAAAAGTGAAGGCAAGGAGGGACATGGAAGCTGATCAATGGAAACAGAGCAACAGAATGGAGATCATGAGAAGGCTGACACACTGTAAAAACTGTAACCTGTGGCCTGGAACAATTCATAAACTGTCCAACAGAAACCTAATTCGTTATGTCAACTTTCACCTAAAACACATTAAGGTATTTAACAAAAATAAAAGATAGGGAGGAGGTCAAAAGTGTCCTGAATGATGCCTTTTCAACCAACTTCCAGCCCTCTACTGTCCATTTCTTTCCTCAAGGGGATCTCAACAGCAGCTATTTAGACAGCAGAGGGTGTCCCTATTAAGAGGCACAATGGAATGGAAGACAGTCCAAAAAATTATAGGATTAATCTGAATCAAACACTATTTTCTTAGAAATAAAGCCAATTTCTTATCTCCGTCCTCTAGCCCTTCAAAAAGACAGCAGCCTGCTACGTGGTGGGGATCCAGAGAAGGCGGCTGCGCTCCGTCACTCCAGGACAGCACAACTGACGTGCAGGGGTACACGGGCAGGTAATGGGGGTACATACGATGAGGGGCAGGAACCAACACAATCTGCGTTGGGGCTGCAGTGCTCCAGATCTATTTAAATTCAGAGATTGCAGAATTTGGGGGGCGCATCTTAGAGGACAAATAATCCTGTTCTTCTATCAATATCCATAGGTAGGAATAGATACAATAGGATGCTGGTTTTGCATACTTGGCTTTTAACATTTTAGGCGTTTTCTACTGGCCCAGTTTTAGGGAATGCTATGGTCCTAAGTCTTCTAGTCATGCTCCTTTCTCCCTTCTTGTTTGTGGAGGATTTTTTATCTGACTTGATTTCATTGAGCACCTGTGGGCAGATCAATGTTTGGGTAACAGTGCTGGACCTGATACTCCCTTTACTTCTCAATACACCTGTGAGATTGTCAGGGACATGACTCGTCTCTTGAGCAAGGCCCACCTTCAAGGGCCACCAGATCCCAAACCTCTGCATTTCTAATTCATTCAGCTGGCATCCCTTTTAATTTATTCTGTACTTACTGATTCAACAGTCCCAATCTAGAACATGATCATTTTAGGTCTGAAATTAGGCCAGCAGTTTGTTTGTCTCCTGGAACTTCTCTTCTCACTTAAGTCCACCAATATCAGTCCTATAGTCAGCACCAAATCCCACCATTTCTGGGAGTCACCTGGATCAGATCAATGATCTTAGAATTCTCTAGGCTCAGCCAAGACTGCAAGGTCTTCTGTTACCCTTTACTGTCTCCACCTAACTGGCTTCATTGGCTGCTGCACAGAAAGCCATGTTCTCTGCTCTAGTCAAGCAAGTCTGTTATTTTTTTTACCCCGTCTCTGCACTAGAAAAGGGAGCTCATGTTGCAACTCATGGGCTGCAGTTATCATTTCCTTTTAAAAGAAAACCTGAAGCATCCTGTCATGTTGCCACTCTTCAATCCCTCCATCAGGTTACTGCTTCCAGTCAGAGAGGTAAGAAATGTTGATGGCAGTGAAGGCAGTTCTTGCATAGAGTACACTGCTCCCCTTGTTATCCCCACTTCACATCCTTATGGGAACAAATGGTTTCCCTTGCTTGGAACTCCCATCTCCTCAGGAGAGTTCCAGACTTCTCACCTTCAGTGCCTTTTACTACATCCTACCTCATGCTAATCATTCCAAACGCTTCTCTCCTATATGTGTTTCAGTCTTTCAGGAGTTAAAATATTCATTGTGTCTTAAAAAACACCATTTTCATGTGTTACCCTATACACATAAGAAGCTTGTTGCTAAGTAGGAAGGTCTTTGAAACAACACTGGTGCACACAGCAGGCACATCATAATACTTACATTCATGGTGGCTAATCAGCCTATGCGCAGAACACATATGAATTTTATTAGCTAAGCATTTACATGCTTTATTTTAAAAATCAGCTAGTCTTCATAATACTGGTATTCTTAAAGGCCTTTCTGCAGGGACACTCAGAGGTTTACTAAGAGCAATCATGAGCTCCACTGGTAGGGAAATTACAAGTTCTGACGCTCATCTTGCATCTGTGAGAACCCTGGTGGTGTGCTGTAGGGTAAGCACTGGGCTGCTAAAACTACAGGTCAGCCGTTCAAACCCCACAGCTGCTCCTAGGGAGAAAGATGAGGCTGTTTGCCCCCAGAAAGATTTGAAGCCTTGCCAGCCCTATACAGGGTCCCTATGAGTCAGAATCAACTCAGTGGCAGTGAATTTTGAGTTTTTACATCTGTAATGTGAGTAGTCTGGAAGTTGGGAGTTTTAACATTCTTTTCATGAAGATTAGCGACAATGGTTTATCTTCTGTAACCTGACTGCAAAGGACGCTTACGTTAGTGGGAGCTCTGAATGCGTGGCTTTGAAGGTAGCAGCCATGGCCTCAGTGTCCACACCAAACCGTTACACCGTGCCTCTGCCTCATACACTGTCTACGTCTCACCGTTAACCCCGTACCTCTGCTTCATACATGTTTCATGTACACAATCCTTGGAGACATCTCTCATTTGCCTGAAGGTGAGAACCTCATAGGAATTCAAGAAATAATTTAAGCTTTTTAAAAAATGTTTTTTTGTCCACTGGGGATGCCTTTGAACTTCTGAACATCTGCCTACTCCATCCACTGCACTCCATCTGTAAAGTGGTGTTTTAAACCTCAGTATAGAAACTGTAGTCTGACAGGTTACACTTCGAGGTCCCCTCTCCTGTGTCCTCACTGTCCTGGCTGGACTATTGGAACAGATTTCACATTGGTCCACTGTCTCCTGTCTCCTCTCCAATTACCAGGGCCATCTTCCTAACAGCCCATCACATCACGTTACTGTTACTCCTGGAATTTATTCCTGGAACAAACTCTTAAGGCCAATAGATACGGCCTATTAGTGAGCTACTTCTTTGCCTGCCTGTAGTTTCAGTCTCACCTGTTTCTTCCCCACAGTCCTGTCTCCATACTCACCTCTGGACATGACCTCTTTAAGGCCAGGGTTTATGGCTTGCCCTGAACCTCGTGTATGAACAGCCCATATACACCTAATTTCTAGATCATGAAAACAGCTCACAGCACCACATTCTCACATCACTATTCTGATACCTGCCACCCACGTGGCTCTTTCTCTGACCCTCACCACCTAGAGTTGGGTCCCCACAAATTAGGACTTTGTCCTCCAGCTCCTGCCAAATAGGCAAATGCTGGCTGGCTCTCACTGCCCCCAGTGGGTTTGGTAATTGGCTAGAATGACTCATAGAACTTTTGGAAATGCTTACTTATGCTTACAGTAACCAGTTATAACCAGAGAGGGTAGAGTAGAAACGTAGAGGTGCACCAGGTAAGATATGTGAGGGGTCCTGGCACGAGGCTCCCAATGCCTCGAGGATATGCCACCCTCCTTCCACAAGAAGCCGAAAACTGAAAGCTCCAAGATCCAGAGTCCCCTAGAGACACAGCCAAGATCCACGCAGTTAGCGAATCTGCATGACCGCACCTGCCTCTCCCTCCTGGGTAGCCCCTATTGGCCTGGCTATTTTAGAACGACAAAGAGCACCTTCATTGCTCAGAGGTCATTTTTAGGAATCAGATACAGAAGTCCAAACTTGGTTCTTCTGTGTCCTCTCACAACTTAAGACCCTTCCTCTCTGAACAGCCTGGTCAGCCCTCTCTTGAGCAGTCAGGAACACTGGCCCAGCGGGGTCCTTGCACGTGGGTCTTTCTGTCTTTTTGTTCTCAGGTCTGACAGTGTGCTAAGTGCACAAGGGGTACCTGTTGACGAAGGAACTACCACTGCACAGCACAACTGTCACACTCCTAGTGAGCACAGAGCCCCAGGGACCACAGCCCACTCCCTTTCCCCTTTGCAGGACTTGGTCTGAGGCCTAGCAAAGCCATTTAAAGGCGTGGGTAAGAGCTCATACCTTTTCTGATGCCTCTCACCTCATTAATTTATATCTGGAAACGAAGGCTTTACCACAGTCAGGCTGCAAGCACTTGTAAGGCCGCTCCCTGGAGTGGGAATACGTGTGAATGGTGTACTTCTCCAGGGTAAGGAATGTTTTGCCACATAATCGGCAGGGGTAAGTGGCCATGGGCTTCGCTGCTCACACCTTCCTTTTCAGATGCGCCCACCAGCTGCTGTGCCATTTAAGCACAAACTGATAACCTGGTGCGGGCACATCAGCAGAGCCAACGCAGCTCAGCTCGTCAGGGCAGCAGCAGCATTGTGGTCCAGGGCCCAGCTCTACCCAGACATGGCCTCAGTCACCACTGGCTGTGTTCCCTGGGCTTCCACATCCCAGTTTAAAACCAGTTTCAAGCCGAGGGGAGAATGTCTGAGGCCCAGATGCAGTCCCAGAAGCAGGAAGGTAACCCGCATCACTAGAGCTGGGGTCTGTCCAGGATCACCAGGCTGTCTGTGGAGAGAAGAGGAAGAGTTTTCGTATATTATTAGCCGGTGGACACAGTGCTTTTCAGAATCAACAGTGGCCCTCACACAGTGCCCTTGGCCACCCTCCCTGAGATCTGTGCCTTCTGCACATCAATCCACCTGTCTGCACTGCTCCTGAGCAGTAAGGAGCCAAGCACACAGTGTGCTGAGGGTGGGTGAGCATACCTCCTTTTGGGATGAAGACAGCCACTTACTCAGTATGATCTACTTCACACTACAATTTCAGGTCAGGGTGAGCTCAGTTGTCCAATTTTCAAAAAGAGTAAACAAAAAAAAAAAAACCTCCCCTAGTGTGTTTGAGTGTTTTACAGACATAAAAACAAAACCTCCACTGCTTACTCATACCATGGAGTTCTGTGCGGTGTAACCAGCTAAATCAAGTGCTCACTGCTAACCAAAGGCTGCACATTTGAGTCCACTCAAAGGTTCCATGGGGAGAGTCTGGCAATCCATTTCCGGGAAACCAGCCATTGAAAACCAACTCTATAAAGCAGTTCTACTCTGACACGTGCGGAGGGTTGCCCTGAGTTGGGGACGGACTCGATATCAGTGGATTTTAAATCAAACCATGGGCTGCTTCTCTTCATTCACTGTCAGCAATACACAAGCTATCACACCTCTCTGAACTTCCAGTGCTTGAAAAGAATTCATTTATACACATTTGTTTGTTCGTAAGATTACTCTGCAGAAAGACTGACGTAAAGGAAATGTGAGTAAAGCTAGCCTTGTTTCACTGACATAATGCCTCTAGAGAGCAAAACAAGTATTTCCACGGAAACAAAACTCTGACTCAGGCAAAAACTCAGCTCTGGCCACACTGAGTTTTGTTGACACCATCCTCCAATAAAGCATCAGAGATGCAGAGGGATCTCTTTCCCTTTTGCTTAGGGACATTTCCTCAACCCCAGTCCCATCCTGAAAGGTCCATCCAACTAGCTGTAGAGGTTGGATGCTGTCTCCTCAAACTCGACCTATCTGAAACTCAAGGCATTGTAATACTTCCAACCCTGTCAATGTCTTCAAAAACCTGCCTTTTCTTTTGCTGCCAATGGGCCATTATTTGAGTAGCCATTGTCTAAGACAGTATCAGAAATAATACAACAAAATCATGACTATCTACAGTTCAGGGAAAATGCGCTTTTCTACTGTAATTTTTCAGGTGGATGGACACTAACTTTCCATGTGCCATTACTTTAGAAAACATTAGGCGCTGCATGCTTCCATTAAACATAGGTGGGCAGTTTTTGTACATAGGCCAGCCTTTGCTGAACATTGTTAAGCCAAATTAACACGTCATAGTGCTATGAAAATTTTTACTTTTCAGTTATTTGCCAATCAGCACTATTCCAGAAAGGTGGGCTGTAGCTAGACTGAATTCTATTTCAAGCATCTTTAAATACCTCTGTACAAAACAGATGTACTCAGACAAACATACATCACCTTTTCTAATGGGCAGGAATTTATAAGAAACTTCTAGTATTTCTCATCTCCTGCCTCAGATGTTTTTGGCGTCTGGTCAGAGTTCATGACATGGAAAGATTCCCCAGTTCAAATTCCAGCTTAGCCATTTGTCAGCTATGTTCTGAGTATCAGTTTCTTCACTTGTTACATCCACTTGGTCTTGGTGACAATCAACAGAACCAAAACGGATCTGGAAACTTGTTGCAGTAAGTACAATAAAATCAGCATGCAAATATTTTAATCATGGAGGTTAAAAGTAGAAACCATTAGCCATACATTAGACCACAGCTCTAACTAATTCAGCTATGGATGTGGTGGAAGAACACAGAGTTTCTCAAGCTGGTGGTTGTGCGCCATGGAGTCGGTTCTGACTACTAGAGATCCTGTATAGGGTTTTCGAGGCTATAAATCCTTACAGGAGCAGAAAACCTCATCTTTCTCCTGTGGAGCAGCTGGTAGATTTGAACTGCTGCCCTTGCAGTTAGCAATCCAACTCATAACCCACTATGCTACCAGAGCTCCCTATGCATATTGTGCTATCATACTGGACTGAACCTGTAATATGAAAAATGCACATGCTCACACATGCACCAGAGGACATGAGAATAAAAAGACACAAGCCTGCATTCAACAGATGTTAACCTTGACTAACTGCTTACTAACACACCAGAAACTATGGAAAAATAAAGTTTATTAAAAAAAATCAACTGCCCCTTGGCACTGAGTAATGTTTTCCTTGATCTAACTTTCCAGCCACTTTTGCCCTAGATTCAAAGACTCAAGAGTCATGGGCATCATCACACCTACATCTCTCCTGGGCCTTAAAGACGATGAGTATAACGTTTCAGGCATGGCCAGGTACGTTCAAAGGTGAGCCACATCTCCTTTCAACTTAATCTCTTTTGTTTTCCATCTGATTTTCTCTCAAAGGGGAAAAAAAATGTGTGTGTGTGTCAATTTCTAACATTTTTATACTTATTTTACTTATGTCATGATTGTCACTTCCTAAGACTTCATCTTATTAAATCTGTGTGTTAAACAAACCTAGTCCAATATTAAGTATGAAGTTAGTACTCAGATGCTGAATCTATATGATAGTGAGATTTCTTTAAATTCTTCAGTGATGTTTTTAATGATGAATTCAAACTTGCAAATAGTTATAACATTTCAAATACTGAAGCTATCTTTCACAACCATGGACCTTAGAAGACAAATATTTGCATTCTTTTCATGATATAATCCCATACTTCAAGAAAAATAACACTTGTTTTCCCCAACAGACTATAAATTCTGTTAGCCAAGGATCAAAGCTCAACTATTTTTAAAAAAAAGCTGTGGCTACAAACACCTCACCTCACCATGTAGTTGATCGCAATCATCAGCAGGCAACCAGTACCCATCTCTGGTTGAAACCTGACGTACTTTCTTGCCCACATTGTTAAAACAAACTCACAATTACTTTGTATCACCTGGCAATCCATCCACCAACACTCCTAACAGAAAATCGACAGAACGGTCCTGATGCTAGTTTGTTCTGTGACTTGACATACTGTTTGCATCTGAGTCTTTAACACGGTAATAATTCAACACCTGTCACACTGGAAAGATAGTAAGTCTTTCCCCAAAACATCTCAGGACATAATTTTCAATCCCCATGATTCTAAAAATACTGACTGAGTGATATAGATCTACCAGTATGCCAAGGCAGGCTTGTGCCATCTGCTTCATTTGTTCATGACGATTATTTTGGGAATGAGAGAGGATCAGATTGGAGTATGAACATATATATGTGTGTGTGTGTGTGTGTGTGTGTATATATATATATATACACACACATACATACATGGCAACAGTCAGGAAGGACTGTTCTCTGGGGGCTGGTGGTGCATGATGGTGGAAGGAGAGGTCAGAGCACAAGTGTAGCTTCAGGATTTCCTCAATGCCCTGTAACATAATCATCTAATGGGGGACAAATGTTTTACAACATTCCCGAAATAAACTATGACTTCTGGCTTCTATTTCCATTGTCCCCAGTGACACAATGCAAAGCCAATTTCTGAGAGGAAATTGAATTTCCATTTTTAGTCTTCTAATATGGGTACTCTAGTTCTTTTCTTAATTCCATTCATCACTTTCCACATTCACCATGGTCGATAAGAAGGTTCTACTCTAAGCAACTCTCTCACATACTCAAATCGTGGGTTTGTTTTTCTAGAAAAGTGTTAAGCCCAATTAAAAAGGGGTCTCTGGCAAGGTTCTGTTTCTTTTTGCACTCATAAAATAAGAAATAGCCAATTGTGGAGCAGGCGGGGAGAAGCTCTTACCTGGTTCTAGGAAGCATTTAGAGAGGGTGTTTCTCAACAATTCTTTGAAGGACTTTAGTAGCAATTGTTTCCAATTAAAAAACTATTCAGAAACATCAGTAGGAGAAAGAAGACATCTAGAACGTCCAGTCTGTTGTTCCTGCTTCTTACTATGAACATGCATTGTAAAGTGCTATGTGAGTGTTGTAAGAATTGGTTCCCATCATGTGTCTAATCAGAAAAAGATGCTTTGGGGGCTGGACTGGCTTTAGCTGAGGATTACAGATGGGAGGCTCTGATGAGTATCTTACCAGATATCAATCAGTGGGTTGTCAGTAGGGGCTCATGTCTTGTTGCTCAGCGCCATCGAGTCAGTGACCCTGTATAGGGTTTCCAAGGAGCAGCTTGTGGTTTTGAACTGCCGACTGGGGGTTAGCAGTCCAGTGCTTATCATACAGTGCCACATCAGGACTCTTCAAATTCTGTTAAGCAGCATTTAATCATTAATTCAATAACTAGTTAACAACTCCTATATGCCAGACACAGTTTTATACCAGGACTCAAGGAGAAAGTGTTCTAATACAGAAACAAGTGACATTTTCACATGACAATGCCTTGAAAGAGTCCTGGGGTGTGGTGCTATAGGGTAAACCCTAGACCGAAAAGTCAGTTTGGTCTAATCAACTAGCCACTCCACGGAAACCCTATAAAGGGTCGCTATGCGTTGAAACCAACTCAACAGCACTAACCCAAAACAACAACAAATGCCTTGAAAGGAACTCAAACGGGCCAGCACTGAGAAGGGATTGAGCCCGGGCTCTGGAGTTGCACTGTTTTGATTCCTAACTCTTCACTTGCTATGTGTGTGATGTTGGCCAAGCTTTTCTTCTATGGAGCCTCTATTTCCTTAGTGCTTGTACAGTGCTATAGAGTAGGTTCTGACTCATAACAACCCCATGTCCCTAGAACAAGCCCGTGCTCTGTCCTGCACCGTCCACAGTCACCATGTTTGGTTTTGCAGCCACTGTGCCAATCCAGCTCATTCTGAAGTCTCTGAAATTCTGTGTAAAATGGTGTCTGCATGGGGGCTCTTACAGGGAGAGGAACCCTCTTCTCAGATTTCTTAAGGGGTCCAAAATTCAAACAGGTTAAAAGGCATTGACTTTAATGAAAAATGAGAGAAAAAAATCCTTCTTT